CCCTAAAACGCTAAGCCCTACACCCTAAAACCCAAAAGCCCCAGGAGCCTGCTGCCTGGATTGCCAGAGCCTGAAGCCGAAGAGAAGCCGGCCAACAGGAAGCGCAAGCCTGTGACGGCGTCTGGTGAGAAGTCAGCTGCCATCTGTAAGAAGAAGAAAAATAAGTGAAGTCTCGATGATAGGGCCATGCAGATCCCGTGCACCACCCCTATAGAGCTGGACTCTTGTAATCCATGTATAGGCCTGCACATATACAGCTTATGTAGGCTACTTTAAGCGAAGCATGAGCCCCTCCATTCGAGATCCAGTCCGAACCCATGTGGCAAATGGCATGGTCTTTCAAATTTGATTTTGCTGCAGTCCCGGCATGACCCGGGAAGCTGCACCACCGAGATCCTATATGTGTGCAGTGCAAAGAATCCGCATGAGCAAGCTATATGTGATCCTCGACACCCATTTACGAATAAGCAGTGCTATGCAAGCCACCTCCAGGTCGTGATTTCTCGGAAGAGAATGCCGAGGCAGTGCAGGCCCTGGCTGAAGGTGTGGTGGATGGCGTCTCCCGGTACGGATTAATGGGTTTGGCGCCTCCATGCCTTTCATTCGGTGCGATATATTTACAGTGGCCCTTGCGTAGGCCCTAAACCCCAAACCCTAAAGCCTACCTACACTGTCTCTTGATTGGGATCCCAGGCTCGAAGTCTATTCCTCCCATGAGCAGCTTTAGCCCAAAAAGAATTTGAGTTATAATAGGATTTATAAGCCCCAAAAAGTTATATAAAGGTTACCCACTCAGCCCCCAAGGCAGAGATATTCCTTAAGGAAAGGGCGTTGGAATACCTGGGGATACACTTGGGTTGAAAGGGACCGGATCGGTCTCTACCCCCGTTCATTCGGATCCTTTGGGCCCAAACCCTACGAGAATTGCTCCAAAAGCTGCACCCTAAACCCAAATCCAAAAACTTAGAGTAGGTGTGCGGCTCTTTTACAGTATAGTTGTAGTATATGTCTGGTTTCTGATTTGCAGAATGGAACTTAAAGGCTTTTGAGATCGAGCCATATAGGGTTTATTTTGGCTTATTCTATAACGGGTGCATGTGAGTATATAGGGACGAGCCAGGGTATTGAATTGAAGCACAGACTGAGCCAGACCCCGGGGCCGGAACACTAAAACCCTATATTATTATAGCCCCGAATAGCTCGCTAATTCCCACCTCAAAACTATATAGAGCCTTATAAACCCGAAACCCCAAACCCTAAACCTTAACCCTAAACCACTGAAGCCTAAAGCCTATAAACCTTGAACCAGTAAAGGCCCCGCTTCTAAGCCGAATTGATCCCAGGCTCCAGCAAAAGAGGTGGGCCGCCTTGCGCGTGCTTTTCGTTCTGAGCTGGGAACAGCCTCGGATGGAGTGGAGCAAGCTTCTAGGGTGCACCCAACGCACGGTGAGCGTGACAGTCAGAGGCTGTTCCGAAAGTTTGGGCTCAGTTTGAATGTGCCGATTTCGGAGTTGGAAGTTCCGGCTCAGGAAGATGCGCCCCCGCTTACTCTTCCCTACCTCAAAATTGTAGACTACATGTCTCTGCTGCTAAAGAAATATCCGGAGATTCTATTCGCCGGCCACAGACCCGGTCCTGATGCCGAAAGACTATGCAGGGAGTTCTGGGAAGGTTATCAGGTTTTCCATCCCCAACACGAGATTTTTAAAAGGTTCTCGAATGAGACCTTAGGGAAAGTGTTGCCAATCGCGCTTCACGGGGACAAGGGAAGAGGGTACATGAAACTTCCGCTGTATTGTTTTATGTGGGAAAGCTGTATAGGACCGGCTGAACAACTTCGTGTAAAGGCGGCTAAGAAAGGCGACAAGTGTCGCCGTGAATACGGTGGCAATATGTCTTGCAGTTGTGCAGAAAGGGCCCGCAATCAGCTGCATCCGGAGGATGTAGATGATCGTATGTGTCCCCTCAAACGAAAACGAACAAGCCTAAAGACACCGTACAAGACAATGTGTATTGAGCACAATGGGAAGGGACATGTCTTTCTCAGTCACTTCCTAGGTACGTGTATGCCCTCGAAGATGTTCAAAGCTCACCCTCAGCTTGTAGACAAGTACCTAGAGGAAGTGGCTCGTGAGATGACCCAGTTGTTCCACGTAGGCCTGGAATGTGATGCCGGGACCTTCTATGCGGCATGTATAGGCGTCAAGGGCGATTTTGAATACCATATGGAAGTAGCGAAGCTTACGCGAAACTACTTGAATGTAGGGACGGTCAACGATCGCCCCTTTTGCCCGTATTGCCGTGCAGGAGACCCCAACATTCCAGCTATAGATTTGCAGGACACCCCAGCCTTTCAGGCAACTTTATACAGTGACAACCCATGGGATTCTTTGCCTGTCTTGAACCACATACCGTATGATGCTACCATGCCTGCCAGTTTGTACCGCAAGGATGTGTTTCATTCTCTTAAATATGGGTTTCTGCGAGACTTGAATGCAGGGGTGATCATCTGGCTCAGCGAGCTGGGGCTTTTCGACAGTGCAGGAGATTCTACATCCATTGACAGCCGACTTGAGAGAGCATATTCCTGCTTCAAACTTTGGTGTGTCGCAGCTTCGAAGACGACAACACTGAGGAAGTTTTCAAAGGAAAACCTTCACCGCCAAACAAGGGCGAAATTCCCGTACACGTCTGGAAAGGGGTCGGACAGCATAGTTCTTATGCAATGGCTTCAATGGTTTGTGCGTTTGAAATTGATATCGCCGAACGTGCCCGAGAAACAGCTCTTAATGGCCATGCAAGAGACCATCGAGGGGGGTCTGGCCTTCTGCGGGATTATGCAGTCGCACAACCTGCTAATGCCTGCTGTGTGTGCGAAGTTTCAACACAAAAATGGCTTGCGCCTCCTCCGTGGCTATGCTTATCTTGCGGCGAGGAGCATGAACTGGCAGCCGCCGCTCCGCTTGTTCGCCTTGCGTCCGAAGTGCCACTTTTTTCACCACCTTCTACTGGAGTTAAAAACTCAAGTGGATTCCGGTGCACACACCGTGCTGAATGTTGGTGCTTGCTTCAACTGCGAAAGCAACGAGGACATGGTAGGGCGCATCAGTAGAATCAGCCGTCGTGTGTCCGCTAAGTTGGCCA